TATATATATATATATATATATATATATATATATATATCGCACACTTTTTTCTTTCATATCTCAAATTTTTTTAAAAAAAGTGAATTCCCTACCAAGATATACCCCCTCAAATTTGCAAAATTTGCCAGGTTTCCGCTTGACATACTCACCTTTATAGACTTGTAATTTAGCCTGTCCTTAATGGAATTCAACAGCAAAATTTTTCGTTGATTATATTTTTCATGTCACCACTTCTTAAGCACATGTTAAATGTTTTAGTTCTGTTAAAAAATTGCATAGATATAGTAGAAGTAATATTTCAAACAGAAAGAAAAAAGAAAATGTGTCTTTGAATATTTTTCAAAAAAACATTCAGAATTTTTGGCTCTACAACATATCAGATGTTGGTGGTAGCGATTTTTTGGTATCGAGAGTTATGAGCTAGAAAGAAATGTCGAATTTTAAAAAACTTTCTGTTTTACGGTAGTACCACGTATTGTACATGACGAAATTGTCCAGAGCCGCCTCTGAAAGTCGCAGACACTTGTTATCAAAATTCGGTATGCTTTAAGCACTGGAAATTTGTTACAAAAGTTGTTTTACTTCAAAATATTAAAAAAGTATTATTCCGCATTTAAGGATTAGCTTTCATTCTAGTGCCTTCTGCTTCTTGTATTTCATTCTGTTAATACTGTACGGTAGTATACATTTTGAAGTTACAAAGAAGTGAAAGAAGACCTTTCTGAAGCGCGAAGAAAAGGGCAGTTTTTGTTGAACATGGTCAAAATTCAAGAAATTGTAGTTTTGCTCATTCGAAACAAATTTTTCTGATTTTTACTTTATTCGAGAGCCTATCTACTGCTGGTTTAGGGAAGTGGCGAAATGTGTATCCTAACAGATTTTGTACAAAACTAGAATAAAAATAAGGGTTCAAAAAATTTTTCTTGGGAAAAAAACGATATTTTCAATTTCATAAAAGATGCATCTTTTTGAGGGCGTAATTTTTGCGTAAGTTAAAATTACAAGATTTTGTCTTTATATTATTACGAGTTACAGTGCGATTAGTGACTGTAGACCACAAAAAATTCCTAGACAGAATTTTGGTAGTTTTGCGAATGACAAGGTCATTGTTTCGAACAAAACGTTATTAAGTATAATAATATAATTTGTTGAGGAGTTGAATCTGCTACGTTAGTAACAGGTAATCAGCTAAAATTGTTTGGTTTTGAGTAGTTTTACAAAATTTCTTGGGGAAAGATTGCTGTCGTGATCGCTTTTTTGATATTTCGTTTTGCTCTCTTATTGAAGTCCTCTAACTCAAGCATTTCACAGTCAGTACTGTTCAACGAAAAGTGCCTTTTTTTCTGTGCTTCAGAACGGTGTTGTCTTGCTGCCAGCATGCTTTTTTGAAGTAAACTTTTGGCTTCATAGTTGAGTATCGAACTCTACAAGTTGGCGAAGGATAAAAAAAGTTTGAAAAGTTGACCAAGAAACTGCGAGCCTTAGCATGGAATGTTGAACATATTTATATTTATGTACATACTCACTTATTTGTTTGTGTATTTACATCTATATCTATACTTAAATGTATTTGGTTTCTATATAGCATCTGCTGCGGTGAATGCAACACCGGAACCTCGTTCGCTGCCCAGTTCTAACAGTCCTGCTGTGGAAAATGGTCCTGAAAGAAGGAGTATCGAGATCGAACCAGGGGTCGTAACAAAGATGCCAGAGGCAGATGCGAAGCATGGTCCTGACTGGAAAGCTTCTAATTCAGAAACATAATTGCAAGAAAATGGAAGCTGTAAGCTGACTGTGACCCGTTGTGAAACAGAAACCTAGGTCAATATTTGTGCAGGGTATTAGGCAAAATTTTATGTTCCTGTTTAAATTGATATTTTTGCCGTATTCGATTTCTTTCTTTTCATGCTCTTTCGTATCTC